TGAGATATGTGGCCAAGAGGTGGGTTAGTGGACACAAGGTGAGATAGTGGACATAAGGTGGCCCAAAAGGTGAGATAGTGGGCATAAGGTGAGATATGTGGTCAGTAGAAGTGGCATAGTGGACATAAAGGTATAGAGAACATAAGGTGTAAGAATGTGGCCATGAGGTGTGATAGTGGACAGTGGACATAAGGTGAGATATGTGGTCAGTAGGGGGGATAGTGGACATAAGGTGAGATATGTGGCCACAAGGTGAGATAGTGGGCATAAGGTGGGATATGAGATGGTAGTGGACCAAGGTAGAGGTGAGATAGTGGACATAAGGTGAGATATATTATGACGTCGGCAAATATTTCAGCCATATCGTGAGAACATAACATTGAATAGAATAGATATTATAAAACCTATGACGAAGGACAGTAAAACAACTAGAATATCACAGATATACATGTGTAATTGAATCCAAAACATTTTAACTATAGGGGACAACAGTGGACATAAGGTGAGATCATATGTGGCCATGAGGGTGGGACAGTGGACATAAAGGCAGATATGTGGCCCACAGAGGTGGGCTACAAGGTGAGACAAGAGGGCCATGGGGTGAGAGTGGACATCAGGTGAGATATGTGGCCAAGAGGTGGGATAGTGGACATAAGGTGATATGTGGCCAAGAGGTGGGATAGTGGACATAAGGTGAGATATGTGGCCAAGAGGTGGGTTAGTGAACATTAGGTGAGATATGTGGCCAGTAGGTGGGATAGTGGACATAAGGTGAGATATATGGCCAGTAGGTGGGATAGTGGACATAAGGTGAGATATATGGCCATGAGGTTGGATAGTGGGCAAAAGGTGAGATATGTGGGTCAAGTGGGTGTGGACATAGTGGCCAGACATAAGGTGAGATATGTGGCCAAAGAGGTGGGATAGTGGACATAAGGTGAGATATATGGCCATGGCCATAGAGAGGTGAGATAGTGGACATAAGGTGAGATATGAGATGGCCAAGAAGGTGAGGTGGGACACAAGTGGACATAAAAAAGGTGAGATATGTGGACATAAGATAGAGATATCTGCAAGGGGTGGGGGTCAAGGAGGTAGTGGACACAAGGTGAGATACGTGGCCAAAAGGTGAGATAGTGGGCATAAGGTGAGATATGTGGTCAGTAGGTGGCATAGTGGACATAAAGTGAGATACGTGGCCATGAGGTGTGACAGTGGACATAAGGTGAGATATGTGGTCAGTAGGGGGCATAGTATACATAAGGTGAGATATGTGGCCACAAGGTGAGATAGTGGGCATAAGGTGAGATACGTGGCCATGAGTGAGTGAGTAGCCATGAGTGAGTGAGTGAGTTATTATTTAACGTGACGTCGGCAATATTTCAGCCATATCGTGACGAGAACATTTAACATTGAAATAGAATAGATATAGATATTATAAAAACCTGCCGACGAAGGACAGTAAAACAACTAGAATATCACAGATATACATGTAAAACTAGTAATTGAATCTAAAACATTTTAACTATAGGGGACAACACAATATAAAAATAGGCAATAGATCACCAACAACTGAACAACAAGATCACCATACTAGGGTCCATGGACGTGGCCATGAGGTGTGACAGTGGACATAAAGTGACATATGTGGCCACAAGGTGAAATAGTGGGCATAAGGTGAGATATGTGGCAAAAGGGTGAGTGGATATAGTGGCCACAAGGTGAGATATGTGGCCACAAGGTGAGATAGGGCCTAAAAGTGAGATAGTGGGCATAAGGTGAGATATGTGGCCACAAGGTGAGATAGTGGCCACAAGGTGAAATAGTGGGCACAAGGTGAGATATGTGGCCACAAGGTGAGATAGTGGCCACAAGGTGAGATAGTGGGCATAAGGTGAGATATGTGGTCAAGAGGTGGGATAGTGGACACAAGGTGAGATACGTAGCCAAAAGGTGAGATAGTGGGCATAAGGTGAGATATGTGGTCAGTAGGTGGCATAGTGGACATAAGGTGAGATACGTGGCCAAGGGGTGGGTTAGTGAACATTAGGTGAGATATGTGGCCAAGAGGTGGGACAGTGAACATAAGGCGAGATATGTGGCCAAGAGGTGGGATAGTGGACATCATGTGAGATTTGTGGCCAAGAGGTGGGATAGTGGACATAACATATGTGACCAAGAGGTGGGATAGTAGACATAAGGTGAGATATGTGGCCAAGAGGTGGGTTAGTGAACATTAGGTGAGATATGTGGCCAAGAGGTGTGATCGTGGACAGAAGGTGAGACGTGGCCATGAGGTGGAATAGTGGACATAAGGTGAGATACGTGGCAGAGTTGGTATAGTGGATATGAGGTTAGCTATGTGGCCATGAATTGTGGGATAATGTACAAAAGGTGAGATATGTGGCCAGTGGGTGTGATAGTGGACATAAGATAAGATATGTGGCCAAGAAGTGGGATAGTGGACATAAGGTGAGATATGTAGTCAGTAGGTGGGATAGTGGACAAAAGATTAGACATGTGGTGAAGAGCTGAAATAATGGACATAACGGGAGATATATGGCTAAGAGGTGAAGTAGTGGACATGAGGTTAGATGTGTGATTAAGAGCTGGATTAATGGACATAAGGTGAGATATGTGGGTGAGATATGTCGTCAAGAGGTTGGATAGTGGACATTAGATTAGACATATGGCGAAGAGCTGGAATAATGAACATAAGGTTAGATATGTGGCCAAGAGGTTGGACATGTGAACATGGCCCGTGATATGTGAACTCTTTTTTTATAACTTTATTTCTTTTCACCGGTGCATGTTTATCAATAAATGGATAGTTCATAGTTCAATACATATAGTATCTAATCAAAATGGGTATGACAATTCAGTAGCTGATAGTTATGGCTTTTACAGGAGATGTATTGTTCAGGTAAATAGGCAATGACATATTGAAGAGTATTTCATGAATTTGGTGTAGCCACAAATTTATGATGATATATATCTGTCTATTGGATATATCTCTTTTGATATATTGGAAATGGTCGTTTCGATAGTTTGCATTTACAAATCTTGAATTTACTTGTATTTATGATCAGATTTACAACATCATTTGACTTTTCATAATAGCCAAATAGGATATCTCGTTTGGTAAAATCTAGCTTTATTTCTGTTTTATGTCTAGTTTTATCTCTCCTCGATCGAATCTTCTATTTCTCTCCAGTTATGGCTAACTTTTGCACATTCGTAAAAGAGGTCTGTTATTGATTCAAAATCAGTTTTGCATAAGTCACATTAATTATTGTTCATATATTTCATTTTATGTTGGAGGTCGTTCGTGGGTAGTATTCTGTAAACGATGCTGTGTTGAAACCATTGTAGTTTGCTGTTTGTATTTGTGCGGAAGGGTATATCATGTATGGTTTTCCATTCTTGTTCTGTCAGGGTTCATCTGAGATTGTCCTCCCATTTCCGAATGTGCTTACTGGTGTTTATGTCGAAAAGGTTTGTGTTTAATGTGTCATAGAATATTCTACAACCTTTTTGCGTTTCACATACATCATTGATGAAATATGACAGAATTGGTGTTTAGAGTTTTTATTTGAGTTTAATGCGTTTGCTTTTAACATAAGAGCCAACTGATTTGATTATGCCATGATATTCAAGGAAGTTTGTTTTTATTTGATATTTTTTCTGAAGGGAAGAAAGGTTGAGATAATTTCCGTCTTTATCAACTAGATCATTAATGTAGTAGATACCTTTATCAGAGTAGCGTTTATAGAAGAAGGTGCTTCCTCCTATTCTAATGTTCTTTGTGTGCCATACGGTTTGGGGAAGGATATCGTGTTCGTATTGGCATTTTCATCTTTAGTGTTTAAGTATAACTCCAAGCATTTCAGGACATCCCACCAGAAGGGATTGGTTCTTCGATTTGTTAGTTTACATGTGAGGTTATCATCAGTATTTATGAGGTGGTCCAGTGATGATTGCGAGGTATTGATAAGAAATGATTCAAGTTTTTAAAAAAATTAGGTTTTGCTTCCAATAGTCGTCTAATTCATGATATGTTTTAGAAGATATTATCCGCCTTATGTTTGGAGCTGGTAGTCCTCCTTCATCATATGGTTTTGTAATTATGTTTCTACTAATGTTATCGTGTTTGTTTTTCTATATAAATCTGAAACAGAGTGATTCAATGATTCAAATTCTTTGATTAGTTTATCGTTAGGATCTTGAAGCCACGTGAATAGCTGGTTGAGTTTTGGTAGGATTAAGCTTTTTAATATAGCATTTCTTCCTAATGAAGTTAGATCACATTGTAACAATAAATTCATAATTGACTAAATGCCTTTTAGTTTGTCCTCGTAATTGTTTTCGACCATTTCCGCCAGGTTGTGTGTAAAGGTGATGCCTAAAAGGGTGAAACATTTCTTTTCCCAGTCTAATTTCCTTTATTTACATAATATTACATCTGACGAGCGTTGTGAGCCTATCCAAAATAGTTGTGTTTTACTCCTAGAAGGGTTACCATGACATGAAATATTGGCAACCAGAGGCAAATTTTCCTGGGTTGAACAGGAAGTAATCAGTCATCAATGTAACGATAATCGATAATCGTCCTACTGGCATAAAACGTTATTATTGTAGTTGACAAACTGTATACTTCATTAGAAAGAGGCTGACGGATGAGATTCCGCCTCTATATTACATGATTTTCAAGTTCATGGACATACATACATACATTACAAAATACATCAATGAGGAATTATTGTCCGATATTATCAAAATAATTGTAAAAAATTGGCATATTATGTATATTCTAAATGATTCTGGAAACTGAACAAATGGAATTGTGAGCAGTTAACTTTGCCTGTGTGACGTGGACTTTTCTAGGCATTAAAAATACATAGCTTTAATTACTCATTCTCCCCAGGCATCGCCAGAAGGCGTATAACATCTGGCAACTCTTCCACTACATCAGTACAATATACATTCACATTTACAGTAAACGTTCAGTTTTAAATCAAATTCAGAGCTATTATTATTTCGTGATATACCTCTAATGTTCCAACACAGTATGTTTACCTTCTAATTATTCTATAGAAAGCTGTTTTCTATTTTCTCCAACTTTATAAGGCATAATTGTAAAAACATGTTGCCAGTGGCTCAAGAATTATGTTTCTTCATAGAGTTACAGAAAGCAACGTATCTGTCAAATTTTCAAATCAACATAAACAGTCTGTGTTTTGAAGAAAACACACTTTTATTTTCCACGATGTGTCAGCATATGTTCTCAGTTAACATAACAGTCAATGTTTCTTCATCTAACACAGCAGTCAATGTTTTCAAACAAATATTCACTTGAGGATATATTCGCTGAAAATAACAGCTTCCATTGTGACGTAACTGTTACTAGTTTGGTTCTTTGATAGCAAATCAAGCATTGAAATACTAAATGGTTTTGAAAAATAACTGACCTAATAATATTTTTAATGTAGTGTACAGACTGCTTTCTTCATGAGAAAGGAAGCTGGCGAATGAAATCCCGCCTCTATATTACATAATGTTTAAGGTGATGGACATACGCACATCCATCACAAAATACATCAATGATGAATTATTGTCCGATATCATCAAAACGAATGTAAAGAATTGACACCTTGGGTATATTCTAAAAGATTCTGGAAACTGAATATATGGCATTGTGAGCAGTTAACATTGCATGATTGATGATGTATTTTCTGGACATTTAGAAGATGTAGCTTTCATTACGTATTCATCCCAGGTATCACCAAAAGAAGTATAACATATGGCCACTGTTCCGCCACATCAATAAATTATAAATTCATACTTCATAATGGAATTGTTAATTCTGTGTCTATCAGTTTCAAGTAAGTATGGAAGAACCGAGTATTCATCGTTATCTAGGTGATATTTAATTAGACCTACGTAGATGATAAATATACATTTATGAAATTATAATGTACGATTTATCGATGGTTCTCCGGTAACTGACAATATTTTTCTGGGTCAGTTTTTGTTACATTTCGTCAAAATGACAGATGTGTTGACATTTACTTGACATGGCACCATCTCTTTTTGAGAAGGTATCCACACATTAAATTAAGTGAATCTTCGTGTAATTGTGTTGAAACTTTGTTGATTGAATTTACTAAATTTTAGCACTAATAATTTGGAAAGATTCCAGTTACAAATGCAGTGTAAATATCGAAAAGGCAACGAAAGACGTTTGAAATCAACTATGACTTCGTCTTCGTCAACGCACATTTCATCTTAATGATGAGCTAGTTCCCCAGTCGAACGTATCTACGCGTTGACATCTGGTGTTAGAATCCAGCTGGAGTAACTTTTTAGTTTACTCCCGATCTTGAAAACCTCTATATGTGCCTACAATTAACATTGTGTATCAAGGATGATTCCTTAAGTTCTACGTCTACCTGAAGAGACTACAAGCGTCTTGATCAACATACCTCAACATCTTGAATGGAGCATCATACAGCAACCACCTAATTGACAACCTACAAGTTAAGGATGAAACAGCGAGATACCACAGACCAAGCAAGTATACACGTCTCTCCCACAGAGATCTGATGACAGCCATCAATATGGAGATCCTGTATTCATACAGAAAATACCACATGGATATCTACAAGATGGACAAGTAGTATAGGTAATGATAGTCCGAAACCAATTCCCCCCAAATCCTTAATGAGGTTTAACAAAGGCTCCACCAATGATGAATAAATGAGTGTGATCGACTGAGACGATGATTGATATGCATAAGCATCATTGATATAAACAGCAAAATGTCTGCTGTGGTCGCAATCCCACAAGGGAGAATGAATTTGAAGATAGATGCGATGCGCAAGCTTCCTCCCTCGTGGGATTGCATCCAACTGCGTACTCTTGACGAGAGCTGCCCCGTTCTAGATAACCTTATAACCTTACTATCGAAAGTTTCAACAATTTGCAAGGAAATCATAGAGGCCAGATAGGATACGAACTCACTATCGCACGGCTGTGCGGCTGCACGAAGCAAGCTGTATTTGTCCCCAGCCACCACAACTCCTATGGTATGAGGCATTGATTTTCCTGGTCTATCCTGCGAGTGATAGGTCAGAGTTCACCGGAACGTAAAAATGGAGCAAGCTGGCTGACTGACAGCTTGGCTAATTGATTTTCCTGATCTAAAAAGTAGAGTGCTGGCTGACTGCCGGGTTGCTTGCTGAGATGGATGACTCAGTGCTAGTTCGGCTATGTTATGTGTGAATGTATTAGAGTTAAGATGTACTCAGGAGTATACATTAACAAATGGATGAGGATGAAAAAAAGTACTATCAGTATTTAGTTGAACAGTGACTCAAGGACGTGGATGAAACATAGAATGATAGTGGGTGTATTCAGAAAATATCATCCCTATCAGGAAGAACGGCTCGTTTATATGTTTGAATGAAGTGTGCAGGTCGCTGTACAGTTGTGTTAAAAATGGGATTATCTTGGCAAAAAGAAGTCTTGAGGGAGCATTAAAGGCTAATCCCAAGTACGTGATAACAAGGGGATTTACAAGTATTGTGGCGAGGGAAGATTGCGATGGTTACTGTTGGACAGCCGAAAAGGTTGTAGATTAATAACTTGGTATCCAACCACTTTTTAAGGTCTTGCCTAAACCGTCTGTTTATTACGACGTTAACACCTTGTCATGAGGTACGATCATCAACTCTTCCTTGACAAATGGTCTACTCGGTCCGTCTTTTAAGTTGTACAAGTTCGGTTCGCCGTCTTTGATGTTGACTAGGTCGACGTTGTAAGTTTTCATGGACCATATCGGTTTTGGTGGCACGTTTTCTGCTGTCTCCCTCGTATTCACCCAGCTGGTACAAGTACGTAATGCTGACCCGGTCTGGTAATTTTCTTTTTGTTTTAGCGCAACATGCTGCTGCTGACGAATCGGCAGTGATAGATTTCATTTTGATGTCTTCGACGGGTCTCTTGCCCACGAGTCTGGTGACTTCGCTGCTGATGGAAGCCACCGCTCGCGGCAAGCGTACGACCCATTCCGTATTTCTGTTTCCGGGATTGATTAAATCCTGTGAGTACTTTTGTGAGAATAGGCGTTCGGTTGAGGTGCGATTGAATCTCTCGGCGATGGCTTGGCTGCTTTGAGCTCCCGCTACACCTCATCTCAGCTTATTTTTCCCGAGCAACGTTTGTTGATATTCGGACATGCAGTCTGGGTTCTCTGTTAATCGCTCGGGAGCGAGCGGGTAGCTGTTGTTCAATTCTTGTAATTCTGTGGGATAGTGTAAGTCCACTTCGAGTATGTAGCCTTTGTTTGAATCCGGTGTGATGCTTTCGACATCGATATTGGAGGACGAGACCCATTCGAATCCCCTGGTGGGGAGATTTCGACTCATGGCCCAGCCGTACAGATTGTTGGCATCGAGATAAAGAATGTGTTTGGTTGTTTTGGTCGGGTCGTGTCCTTCCACATACTTGTTGTTGGCCTTCGCGTACCATTTGACGGCCATGAAAATCCGGCCTCGCAAGCCTTTCTCTATGAATAAGTGCGTGTCGTAATCCGTCAGAAGTTTCAGTTCCACACCAGTCTTTTTCAACAAGGCGTCCATAGTGAGACCGGGGGAGGAGAAAAAACACGTAGGATCTAGGCCGTACTGTTTCAAGAGAGAGTGAGTTAAAATATAAAGTCACTTTGGCAATATTTCAGACATATCGTGACTAAAACAACATATATATTAACAATAATTAAAGATACAGTATAATATCCTGTCAACGAAGGACAGTAAAACAACTAGAATATCACAGATATAAATGTAAAACTAGTAATTAAATCTCAAACATTTTAACTATAGAGGACAACACAATATACAAAAAGGCTATAGATCACCAACAACTGAAGGTAGTTCACCATACTAGAGACCATCGGGATAGGCTTACAGTACCTTTGCTACCTGCATGGACCCTAGCTGGATTTACACCATCCCTTCAGCCGCTGGCGATTGTAGGAAAATTTAGCCGGCAGTTAAAAGAACAAAAATACTACGATTAAAATCTGGTAAATTTACATTTTACTTTGAAAGTTTTGGGATTTACGTACCCTCTCAGGAGGACAATAATTTTACAGTACTTTAACCCCCTTTGAGGGTACAGCCACTAACAATCTAAGTTACTCATCTAAACTACCAGTAATAAAATATATATCTATTTACAAACTATTCATCAAAATTTATCTAGCAATTCTATTTCTTTTAAAAATTCAATGATTAAATGATAATTAACACTAAAAAGATCCTTCACTGTTTTGACATTAAAATATTTATCCCGTGTGATGGCAAAATCAATACAGTCTGTGATTCTTTCATCACAAGGGATACAAAACGGAGGAGCGTCACCTTTTAACAGGTATTCATGAGTATACCTTGAATGGCAAATGCGACATCGTCGCATGATGACCTCTTCAAATCTGGACTGACAACCCAAGTAGGTGTAACCAATATAGGGTTTTATTTCATGTAATTTATTAATACCTACTTGGGAGTCCCACTTCTTTTGCGTCTGATCACGGATGTAAGTTCTAATGCTAGCTTTGTAATCAGAGTATGGAATAAGAAGTGGTGTCACAGATTTGTTGAGTGCTGCCTTAGCAGCAAGATCGGCCATTGTGTTCCCAGAAATACCAACGTAACCAACAAAAGACAATGTCGCATTGGCCAGTAGCAAGCTCATTATACAATTCAATAATTTCTAATAAAAGTGGATGTTTACAAGAAAGATTTTTAATAGCCTGAAGACAAGAAAGAGAATCGGAAAAGATGATGTATTGTTTATATTTACGGTGTTTATTAATATATTGAAGAGCTGTTAATATGGCGTTAGCTTCTGCTGTGAAAATAGAGCTGTTATTTGGAAGTCGAGAAGATATTGTTCAGGATCCAATGCACATGCCACCGCGCCACCATCCTTGGGCCCATCTGTAAATAAGGATTTGTATGTATTATATTTATTTTTTAATTGATTATGTTCTTGTTTATATTGTAATT